AGAATGTTTGATCCTTCACCTTTAATATCAGACAGGATCTATACGGCAAGTGCTTCGAAATAAATGCTACAGAAGCGTTTAACATCCGGGTTGCTAGGTGATGGTGTCTGTATTTATCATTTCGTGCCGAGACAAAAAAATGTATGCACTCTTTGGCACCAAAATGACCGAAGAAATCCGCTTTTGCTTCTCCCCTATGACAGAACACCTCGAGCAATCGGAGAGTCGGCGTTTGTATAGCGTCGTCATCTGGTACCTCATCATACGTTAAAAAACGAGAGGTCCGAATAGCTATGACGTCACCATCGTCTGCTAGTAACATAATGGAAATATTACATCTGCAAATTAAAAAGGAAATATTATTAATAGAATTTATGTACTTTGTAGTTAGCTATATTAATAATAAAATACATGATGTGGCCGCTAGTTTGAATATATGAGCCGACAGTTGTGTCATGTAATAATCAAGTTGATGGATCTTCTACTAAAAATCTTGTATTTTTACCAATGTTGTTTAGTTTTATATTTTTTTTCTAATTATTGCGTCACATTTACCTCTTATATTACACTAAAGCTGTAACAAGTCATTTAAATATACAAATATATTGCGTCCACCCATAGCGAGTAGATAATCATAACATATATACTTTGCGTAAAGTCAAAACATGTTATTTATAGCAATTATCAATATTTTCTAATGTCAAATTTAAGCATGGTATATCTTTAAATACATATGCTTTAAAATGAGTTTTTCAAATATTTGAAACTCATAATAATTCGCTTTAGATCTATGTTTAACTTAATTAAATCACAAAACTTTAAAAGTCTATTTTTTGGAGTGTATACAGCACTTACGTATTTTCGATGATGGATTAAAGATACGACACAAAACATAATTATCAAAATAACATCAACGACACTATATTACAGTAAAAGCTATTTTTTTTTATCTTGTGGTTTTGATAAACAAAATAAATTTTTTTGAAATCTTTGTAGGCAACCTACTTGTACATTGACAACCAGAAATCCTTCACTTCATCGTTCCATGGTACACCAAGGGCCTTCTCGATTGGTTCTTGAAGCAGAAAATTTGTCCGAATAAATTCTAAAGCTGTTGGGTAATATTCTTCCGTAATACGTACAAGACGACCCTCGGTAAAATCCGCTTCCTTACAAGCTTTTTCAAATGCCTGAAAATATATGAGTTTTAAATCATTTTTAATAAAGATGTATGTTGTAACAAATATAATTATGGCGATTTTATGAGGGATAAAAATATATAATATTATATCGGGCAAGAAGGGCATATGTTCAAGTGGTTTAGGTAGGTTCATTGATGATATTATATCAGGCAAGAAGGGCATATGTTGTAGTGGTTAAGGTGGGTTCATTGGTGATATTATATCAGGCAAGAAATGCATATGTTGTAGTGGTTAAGGTGGGTTCATTAATGATATTATATCAGGCAAGAACGGCATATGTTATAGTAGTTTAGGTGGGTTCATTGATTATATTATATCAGGCAAGAAGGGCATATGTTTTAGTGGATTTAGGCGGGTTCATTGATGATATATATCAGGCAAGAACAGCATATGTTATAGGAGTTTAGGTGGGTTCATTAATGATATTATATCAGGCAAGAACGGCATATGTTATAGTTGTTTAGGTGGGTTCATTGATTATATTATATCAGGCAAGAAGGGCATATGTTTTAGTGGATTTAGGCGGGTTAATTGATGATATTATATCAGGCAAGAAATACATATGTTGTAGTGGTTAAGGTGGGTTCATTAATGATATTATATCAGGCAAGAAGGGCATATGTTTTAGTGGTTTATGTGGGTTCATTGATGATATTATTTCAGGCAAGAAGGGCATATGTTTTAGTGGTTTATGTGGGTTCATTGATGATATTATTTCAGGCAAGAGGGGCATATGTTGTATTGGTTTAGGTGGGTTCATTGATTATATTATATCAGGCAAGAACGGCATATGTTATAGGAGTTTAGGTGGGTTCATTAATGATATTATATCAGGCAAGAACGGCATATGTTATACATGTAGTAGTTTAGGTGGGTTCATTGATTATATTATATCAGGCAAGAAGGGCATATGTTTTAGTGGATTTAGGCGGGTTCATTGATGATATACGAGTATATCAGGCAAGTAGGGCATACGATCTAGTGGTTTAGGTGGGTTTATTGATGATATTATATAAGGCAAGAAGGGCATATGTTGTAGTAGTTTAGGTGGGTTCATTGATGTCATTATATCAGGCAAGAAGGGCATATGTTGTAGTGGTTTAGGTGGGTTCATTGATGTTATTATATCAGGCAAGAAGGGCATATGTTGTAGTAGTTTAGGTGGGTTCATTGAGCTACACGTGCTTAATAAATGCAATAAATGTTGCGCAACACTTTTTCTGATAAATACTGATACAACTAAACTTTTTCGTGGGGTTATTTATCCAGGAGTTTGCAAGACTAGTAGAGAGCATATGACACTAAGACGTTGATTTCTGCGTCAGCTAACTAGTTTGTAGGCGCTTGACCGGAAGTAAATAAACTATCGAGCAAAGGAAAAAACATAAAAGGAAAGTATAAAAATGTCATTTAACATGGTGGTACAGTGATTTATTTAGTTTCCATTCGAAACATAAATAAAATGCAAAAATGAGTGAAAAAATAACCGGAACTGCTTCATAATCGGAACTGATAAAAATAAACTTTGCCTTAATCAGTCATTCTAAATATGTTTATAAGCGTTTTTAATTTGGTCAAACCTTTAATCGTTATTTCATGACAACTATGAATCAATCTAGTTTTGAAAAAAAACAGTGTTTGATGATCTCACGTGTGAGAATACATTCATAACCTATGAACTTAAAGTAAAAATAAGATGGTTAGATAGATGATCATCAACAATATAACAGTTGTTCCTTTCGTCGTACTGATTTCTGCTATTTAAACCGAAATATGACGGAAATGGCCGAGAATATTCGAATACCCTAACAGACCTTATTTTGATCCGTTTAGATCATTAAAGAGAATGAGCTTTATATAGTTTCCGCGCTTAAAGATGTATTTTTATTTTTAAAAGTATTTTATTAAATATAAAAATCACACGTATTAACAATGCAGTTTAACCTAGAACAACTTACCTCCTGTTTCTGTGCTTCCGTCAATTCCCGGAGCTGTGATTTAAATGCCGCCATATCTAAAGTCAATAAAAATTACACAAAATCCAGTTTTTGCACTTGCCTAAATTAAACACTATAAATCAATATAAAGCAACGTGTATTCAGTCAGCGTCCTGAATGAGCAGCGATGCAGCACGAGTGATAACAATCAAAACATAATGGACTCAACAAAACACAAGCGTCTCATTCTTTACTTAATTATGAATTTACATGACCTTGATTAAGCAAACTGAATCTAAGAGAGCAAAAATAATACTATGACCACAGCAGATTTCGTACAGAAAATATATTGTGTGCCTCGTGTGCAAACTACGAAAGCGTTACTGTAAGCCGTAGGGTGGCGTTCATTGCATTGACCAACGATTCAGGTGAGGTCGTGGGTTGGCATATCGTTATTTAAGTTTGCAATATACCACGCAGTGATCTCCCCTTACCAATTTTTGCTGTTTCACAGTATTTTTATTTGTTTGGGTCGTCAGACCAAATAAATAATGGTAGCGAAATTTCAGACCCTGATGTTCTTATTTGCAAATGCCGAAAGTAGTCCAAACTCCTCGAAGCGGTTACTTCCCTTCACATGTACATTAACGCCGTAAAATTAAGGGGAGATCACTGCGTAAAGATTTCAAATGACAGGCGCATTAATTTTCCTATAGAAAAAATAGTCCCCGATTGGTCAAAATTGTGTTATTCTTATAGAAAAACATGTTTATATTAAGCTCCATGATTATTTACTTCAGTGTTAAACAACAGGTTTACCGTGAACAAAATATATCGAAATCAATAAGGGTTGCAAACTCTAATTTAGAATAATATGGTATTCCTTAGGTGTTATGTATGCAACATATTACAAGTATATAATTTATATCTGACCAGTTGGTATTTCCAATATTATAATTGTTCTATTTTTAGAACATAAACTACATGTATGTACTAGAACTTTCTTATCTGTTGTAGAAAACTCATGCATTATATTTAGATAGAAATTTCCGGAATGATCTTTATTGTTGAAGTTGCTAGATTATGATTTATGTAGAAAATCAAAGACTATTCTAGAAACTTCTTAGCTTAATTTATATAGAAGACATTTTTCTTTCGTATTATCTTTTAAGTCATCAGTTTCCTTTTAAGTCATCAATATATTTGGAGTATTAAGTGATTTATTGGAGCTTGGATTATTTTAAAATAGTTAAAATTATTCTTGTGGATTTTATTGTGGGAATTTATTCTAAAGTGTTCTTGGATTTAACTTGGATTTAAATGTGCTATTCAAAAAAATATCATTCAAAGATCAGATAAGACATTTGAAATTTATATTTTATTTGGACTTCAGGTATTTGTACACATAATATGTTATTTTGATTTTTCTTTAATAATTTTTCTGTAATAAATTTGTTATTGTTACAAGTTTGTTGCTGGCTTTTCTTTCTCGTTACGCCTGGCTCGTAACACAGGCTTTTATCTTATAACTCCCCGCGGTCGAGGGGTTTACACGCTTGCTTTGGAAGCGAGAGATCTGGAGTTCGAATCCCAGTTCATGCAATTTATGTTGTTTTTTTTCTGTTTTTTTTTTTAATTGTTTAAGCCAAATAAACATTGAATTGAATATCAGTGTTGCAATTAGTCTTATAGCCAATTTACTATAGTTAGAACATTGGGAATAGCATTTGTGTCAAATTGGTTTATAATCTCACAACCTTCACCTTTCTGACATTCTGCGACCCAAACAAATTCAGCACCTTCTGTGCTTTGATTTGACTTGCCGTAGCCATTTTGGATTCTGATACCTCGTGAGACATCCTTGGTGGTGCACGGGACATTCTCGGTGGTGAACGAGACATGCTTGGTGGTTCACGAGGCATCCGTAGTTGTGCACGGAACATCCTTGGTTGTGCACGGGACATCCTTATTGGTGCTCGGGACATCCTTAGTGGTGCATTAGACATCCTTGGTGGTGCACGGGACATTCTTGGTGGTGCACGAGACATCCTTGGTGGTGCACGAGACATCATTGGTGGTGCAAAATACATCCGTCGTGTTGCACGAGACATCATTGGTGGTGCACGGGACATTATAGGTGGTGCACGGTACATGCGTGGTGATGCAAGGGACATCCTTAGTGGTGCACGGGACATTTTAGGTGGTGCATGGGACATCCTTGGTGGTGCATGAGACATCCTTGGTGGTGCACGGGACATCATTGGTGGTGCACAGGACATAATTGGTGGTGCACGGGACATTATAGGTGGTGCATGAGACATCGGTGCACGAGATATCCTTCGTGGTACACGAGATATCCTTAGTAATGTTGGTTTTCACACATTCATGTGACAGCTAACTTTCAGTACATGTTGTAGCTTTGTAAAGAAAAACAATATATTCTGTCACTCGATACAAAAATTTTATTTTATTAATTTGTCACCAAGAAAACAAAGGCTTGTATGACAATATTAACTATAGCATGATAATAATCTATCGTATATAAAATTATCTAGAATAATAAAGTTATGTATATTTATAGCTTTCCATACATATATGTAAATACATGTTTAAAACTAGTAAATGAACTAAAGAATATCTGTTAACTTGACAAGAAAATCACATAATGCTCAATATTTAGTCAATTGGACTTCATTTAGTCTATTGGTCTATGCAGAGTTGTCGACCTTGTTTTGTTCCTACTGTTTAGAAGATATCTTCAAACCATAAAATCGTAAAGACTTGTTTTCTCCTGTATTCTGGATTGGTTTTACACCGTCAACCACAAAATCATCGAACATTTCCTCGTGTAAAAGTTCGAACCCCGAGTGTTCGTAGACAAGTTTAGAGTAGATATTTGATCCTTCACCTTTAATATAGATAGGATCTATACCCAAGTGCTTCGCAAATGCTACAGAAGCGTTTAACATCCGGGTTGCTAGGTGATGGTGTCTGTATTTATCATTCGTGCCAAGACCAAAAAAATGTATGCACTCTTTGGCACCAAAATGACCGAAGAAATCCGCTTTTGCTTCTCCCCTATGACAGAACACCTCGAGCAGTCTGAGAGTCGGCGTTTGTATAGCGTCGTCATCTGGTACCTCATCATACGTTAAAAAACGAGAGGTCCGAATAGCTATGACGTCACCATCGTCTGCTAGTAACATAATGGAAACATTACATCTGCAAATTTAAAAGAAAACAAAAAAGAATATATGTAGTTAGCTATATTAATAAAAAAATACATGATGTGGCCGCTAGTTTGTATATATATGAACTGATAGTTGTGTCATATAATAATCAAATAGATAGAAATTCTATTGATAAACTAATGCTGTTTAGAATAAAATTTCTTTCTAATTATTGTGACACATTTACCTCTTTATTACACTTAAGTTGTTTCAAGTCATTTAAATATATATTGTGTCCACCCTTAGTGTGTAGAGTTTTAAACATATCATATTTACTTTGCGTTA